GATGCGATGGATATCATGCATGCATCGTTTGTTGCGCATTTTATGGAGCCGAACTACGGTAGAGGGAAGACGGGGGCGTTGTTCCAGCTCCGAGGACCAAATCGGGAATCGTTGCGCGAAGCACTGCATGGAGGAGAAGTATCCTTGACGAGTGACAAATATGGCTTCACGTTTCATATCGAAAGGCATTACAAACATATGGGGGTGGTGGTATCTTTTGATTGCTCGTGGCGACCAGAGATTACACGACGTATGCAAAGCTGTGAACAGGCGATGGGACCAATAAGGCGGGGCATTATACCACGGAAAATATAAAGGATGAGTTCAAGGTCAGGTATGTCGAGGCGCTGGCCTTTTCGCGTCTATTTCAACAGGTGGAAATATGGCATGAGCTGGGGGAAGGAAATGAGTCAAGGTTGAGAGCTGCGTATATGAGGGGATTGAGGATGGCAACGGGACTTATGCATAATGCAGGTACGGTCGATCACTACCTCGATGAGTATGTACTATGGAAAGCAAAGCGGGCGGACTACAATACGATTAAGTGTATGAGGAGGTTGCGATATCTTGAAAGGGTGGTGAATCATGCACCGGCTACCCTACGGAGGTTGGTGGATATTCCTGGGACTGAAGGCACGTGGCTGAGTATGTTGGAAAATGACTTTGCATGGCTGCAAAAATGGAGGAATGCAGGTGACACGCCTATGGAGATGCGACAGTGGATCGAGCTCACGCGGCAGGCACCTAAGAAATACTTGGCGATATGCACAATGGCATGGAAACGGTTTATGCAATGGCATGTCGATTATTGTCAGCATGAGGTATGGCAGCAAAAAATCAGAGGTATCGTCCCACAGGAGAATGGGATGGGTCAGAGGTTGGTTTTCATTTGTTATGAATGCAGGGCCACGTTTGAGACTGCGTGTGCGTGGCAGTGTCATCGCACCAAAGTGCATGGCAAAAATGATGACATACCTCGATATGCATACGATGGGTATTGTGCTGCATGTGATGTAAATTTTCACACGAGGAAAAGGTTGATATATCACTTGAAGTATCGTCATACCAAATGCATTGACATATTGAGGGGTATTGTGGAACCGATGGCTGATGAAGTTTTGACAGAAATGGACGAGAAGGATATGAAAGAAACTGCGATGCTCAAAAGTATGGGATATTCTGAATCAAAAGCATTGAGACCACCTACTAAGGGACCGAGGTATTGTAGGAATTCGAGTTCGAAGGAGGAAATGAGAGTCTCAATACCACAGGTTTTGATCGATGAGGCCCCATCCACTTGCAATGAAGAAAGTCCTACATACCAGTGTGTGGACAGGCAGTCGCAGATACTTTTGATATATGACTCCGAGAGTGAATCTACGGAGTGGTTGGATAGTTTTAAGGAGGTCGTACTATTCCAGGTCAAACTGATGGATATAAGGACAACAGAGATGGACGCGATTGCTACTGAAGGTATGTGTCACATAGTGGTGAAGGATATATGCAGGCGGAAGATATTTGGTGTTGTTGGAAAGGCATATGGGTATTTTGGTATGCGACTGTGGGGTGGTACGGATATCCGTGGGAAATCGTTGGCGAAGCAGATAAGGGCAAATACTGTATTCAGGGCCCTGATGATTATATACCACGCGTGTGGGAAGGCCCGAGTGCCTATGTGTGTTACGACGGATATGGCCAGGATTCCCACTGGTATAAGTGACGAGTACGTGGAGAAGGATATCATGGTCGGAGTTGGAGGCCAAAACCTTGAGTTCGAATATTGGCATGATATATGGTGGATGGTGAATGGGGAATACGTATGAGGGCTACTTCCTGGTGAGGGTGCTGGTCGTGGCCCAGGGGGGGTGGATTCAGCCCACAAAGTAACAACCCCCTGGGCTAGACGGCTGAGTCGGGGCGCCCGACGCTGGACGGCAAGGGCGACGACTGGGCGACGCCGACGCAGGCCGTGGAGGCCTTCTGGGGCCTCTGAGGAGGCCGGCGTGGTGAGCCCCCCAGGGTGGGTCCCCACCTGGGGGGCTCGGCGTCGTCGTGATGGGGTCGAAGGCGCCCTTTGTTCTTTTTGTAGGAGTATGAGGGGAGGAAAGGAGGATCAGGTGGCCATTTCGACCCCGTCGCGGTGCATGATTAGGCCCGCAGCGCGGGCCGCGGACGCTACGAGGATCGCCTCTTTCGGTGCGAGCGCAGCAGCAGGGGGGGGAGGCGGGGGAGGGTGGAGGGGGAGGAGGAGGACAAGGAGGAGGAGGAGGAGGAGGAGGAGGAGGAGGAGGAGTAGGAGGGAGGAGGAGGAGGAGGAGGAGGAGGAGGAGGAGGAGGGGAAGGAGGAGGGGGAGGAGGAGGAGGGAGGCGGCGGAGGAGGAGGAGGAGGAGGAGGGGAGGAGGAGGAGGAGGAGGAGGGGGAGGGGGAGGAGGAAAAGGAGGAGGGGGAGGAGGGGGAGGAGGGGGCAGGAGGAGGGAGGACGCCCTGCACGGAGGAGCG